TTTTTATCAAACAAATCCAAAACCTTCGTGCTATCTGTTTTCAAGCCATAACCTTTTCCATTTTTAAACCAACTATGAAAATACTTTATTTGCAATCCCATGTTCCCGTTTTGGGGCTTAAAAATAAATAGCATATTTTCTCGAGTTTTTACCTAAATTTTAATTTTTGGGAATTTTGGTAATTATTTTTTTCAATTTTTATTCAAAATTTGCAGGTCATGTGCACTTACATTACAGAGCATCTTAATACTATGTTCCATGTAGAACACCAAAAAGAAATTATGCATTACATATACAATCATCAGGTACATTATATATGTTTGATATTTTTTCCACACAAATTGGATCAAATTATAATTTTTCAAAATGTGCTTATTTGTGTTAAACTACTAACAAGGGTTGCAGTTAAGTTGGCCAAGAGTTTTCACTTCTGCATTCGAAGTAAGTCCCGCTTGTATAAAAGAAAATACTGAATAATAATGCTAATTAATGTGTTGGATATTTCAGAACCAAGATGGTGGTTGGGGATTACACATTGGAGGACATAGCACCATGTTCTGCACAGCTCTCAACTATATTTGTATGTGTATTCTTGGAGAAGGACCTAATGGTGGCCAAGACAATGCTTGTGCAAGAGCTAGATAGTGGATTCTTGATCATGGCAGTGTTACCCACATCCCCTCTTGGGGTAAAACTTGGCTTTCGGTATGCCTATCTGCAGCACTAAGACCAACTGCTTTTATTAGGCTTCAGTAAACTGTTGTTCTTAAATTTCACTATAACTATAGCAAATCATCAACATATTGATACCTTATCTATGCAATGTATGGTTGAAATATTTGGAATATTTACTATTGATGGCGGGGCAATATCGACAACGTATAAAGATCGTATAACTTTCAATAATGTTAGATAACATAATTATTGATACACTATAATAGTTGTGGGCCCCTATTATTATATGTAATAGGATTTGTCTGGATTAGAGTTGCAATCTAAAAGGAAAAGATAGATGTTATATGTCATATTTAACTTCAAGTGTAGTGGTGCAAATTATACCATATGTATCCAATGCATACATTGATACATAATCAAATAATTGTTTTAAACTTTTAGCATTTGTTTTCTGTGGAGAAAGATTCAGTAAACTATAGAATTAAATACTACTGTTATATCTTCTAAAGGTAGAGTTCCTCCTTTTTAACTCTAGATTAATATGACTTTACATACAGTACACCAAATCACTTATAACCCTAACTATTTCAGTATATTGAAGAGTGATCGAGCCATATTTGACAGTGTGTGTCTAAATTGCATTTACTCTATCCATGCAATGAGGCTTTCTTTCGTTGGAAGTATAATGCGACTAGTTGCTGCTGTTCTGGTGCTATTTAAGAACCTTGGGGTGCGTTTGTTGCACTGGACTATCTCGGACTGGACTAGCTTCAGGGATTAAGTTGGACTGGCTTAGACTAGACTAAACTAGACTAGCTTAGTGAAGCGTTTGGTGTAGTATCGGACTAAACTACAGACTAATTATTTTTTATTATTATTTATTTACTTTTGCGTTCAAAAACAACAAAACAACAAAACAACAAATATTAAAATATTATTTGTAGTTATTTAACTTCTAAAAACCTAATTAATGTTTCATTTGCTGCCTTTACTTTTATTTTAGAAGAACAACCTTTATTTTTTGAAGAACAGACTGATATTTCCAAAGCAAATCCTCTATGCTTCTTCATTCCTCTCCACCTCCTGCCTCGTGCCTTTTCACTTCCTCTCACAAAATCGGTTGCAAATCTAAAAGTCAAAACACATAGCAAGAAAGAGATTGAAGGAGGCGAGGTGCATGTGTGATTGGCTCGAAGGTAGAAGATGAGGGTTGGATTTGGTTTGGGTTTTCTGGGTGAAAATTTCAAGCTCATCCCACTGCAAATTCTTTTTTGGTTTTCTGGGTTATCTGGATTTAAATTTTGGGAGTTGGATCTGGTTCTGAAAAGGGAACCTTGGGAAATTTTGTTGCTTTTTTGTTTCGGATTTGGCAGGATCTGGGTTTGAAATGGGTTGTGGGATGCGAGGAAGAGGTAGATGGGAGGACGAAGCGGGTAGGAGTGAAGCAGGAAGTCACTCTCTCACGATTTTCTCTGGGCTTACGAGTCCGCCCGAAATTGGGGATCCTCGTTAAGACCTCGTAAGGAGGTGTATAATCCGAGCGAGTCCCACCTAAGGTCATTAAACCTAATCCTGCAGCAGACCAAACAAGAGACTATAGTCCATTCCAGTCCAGTCCTCCTTAATCCTGTCAAACAAACGGGCCCTTGGTGTGTTTGAGTGGTCCGGAAGCAACCCAATGCCCCCAGAGTTTTAGACTCTGTCTTCATTTCTTCCTATGCATCCAGGTTAGCACAATTCCGGACTCCACAAATACAAATAATTCAATATTTCACATGTTGATAGATTTAATTAGTCTCTCTCTACCTATATATAGTCTGTTTTTTAATCTCTTCTACATCATGCAAATGCAGCAAAAATGTTGTGCTACTGTAGGATGGTTTACATGCCCATGTCCTATTTATATGGGAAAAGATTTGTTGGTCCAATCACACCTCTCATACTACAATTAAGGGAAGAACTCTATGCTCAACCTTGTGACGAAATCAACTGGAGGGAGTGCGTCATCACTGCGCTAAAGTGAGTTTAACTTGATTAAGATATCTAATTAGTTAATGTTTTCTTGTTTAGGTACATAAACTGATTGCACTAATTTGCATGCAGGAGGACATCTACTACCCTCATCCTTGCATATGTACGGAGCCTCTTCTTACTCGCTGGCCATTTAACAAGCTGATTCTCTCGAAGCAACAATGGAGCATATTCATTACGAAGATGAAAACAGCAGAAACATTACAATTGGATGTGTGGTAAAGGTCTTATGCATGCTGGCTTGTTGGGCTGAAGATCCAAATGGGGATTATTTTAAAAAGCATCTTGCCAGGATACCAGATTATTTATGGGTTGCCGAGGATGGGATGAAGATGCGAGTTAGTACACATTTTGTTAATACTGTACATGATACGATGAATTGTTGTTTACCCTTTTTTCTGTTTAAAAAGTTTACTCTTCTAAATCATTGGAAAACATATAAGGTGATACATTTTCTTAATGAGGTATTCATCAATTTTCCCCATGAACTTGTGACCATTGGCCAATTTCCCCCCTCAACTTTAATTTTGGCCAATTTTCCCCCTCAACTCTCATAATTAGTCAATTTTCCCCCTCAACTTTAATTTGGCCAATTTCCCCCCTCAACTCTCAAAATTAGTCAATTTGCACTCTACTGTTAATTTTTTTTATTTTTAAATTTTTCATCTATTCTTTTTTTAATTTTCAATCTTTCTAATAACTTCCAACAAAGTACTAAAATTAACATAAACTCACCCGCATAATATAGGGTAAAATGTACAAAAACATAATACAGTTAGTATGTGATATGAGTTGATTATAAGAAAAAGTTATGAATCGGGTTTAAAGCATGTAGAAGAAGAAATAATAATCCTAAGCTCATGGATTAGACCTATTTCAATAAAATGGGTTATTTTTAATAAGGAGTCGAAAATTATGAATAGACTAACCATTTTTTCACTAAAGCTCGATTCTCCTCAATTTACTTGAACTTAGCTTTCATGTTTATAATGAAAATTGTATTCACATACAAAAATTTACACATCAATCCTTTTCGTTATTAATTTTGTATGGTCAAAAATCAAATAAAATTACTCCATACCGATTTATTATGACTAATAATACTATCTATGATAAATTGTAAAATTCTAAATTTTAATCTACTTGTAATAGGATAAAGATATAGGAACATGATTAACATACATCTTATTTAGTTTCTTACACACACTTGTTTAATTATGATCAAATTGAAAAATTAACAGTATGGTGCAAATTGACTAATTATAAGAGTTGAGGGGGGAAATTGACTAATTATGAGAATTGAAGGGGGGGGGAAATTGGCCAAAATTAAAGTTGAGGGGGGAAAATTGGCTAATGGTCACAAGTTCAGGGAGGAAATGGATGAACACCTCTTTCTTAATACATGCAGAGTTTTGGCGGTCAACAGTGGGATACTGGTTTTGCCATTCAAGCTTTGCTTGCTTCCAATCTGTGCACCCACGCTCGCTAGAGGACATGACTTCGTCAAGAAATCTCAGGTTCGTCTTTTATTTAGTCAACTAAACTTTCTTGTTTTTGTTTTTTTTTTTTTTTTTTTTTTTTTTTTTTTTTTTTTTGGTGAAATGTATATGTGCATTGATTAATTTGTTCTTTCACTAGTGATTTTTTTGTAATCGAATTGTAATGGTTAAGGACAATCCATCGGGTGACTTCAAAATCACGCACCGCCACATTTCCAAACGATTGTGGACTTTCTCTGATCAAGACCATGGATGGCAAGTTTCTGATTGCAATGCAGAGGGTTTAAAGGTAACAAATACTTCAACTTAGTTATCCACCTTAAATGCTATTTCCATTTTTTTCACCATAATCCCCTGTACGGTGTTGCCTGCTTTTATCGATGATGCCACCGGAGCTGGTTGGTGAAAAAATGGAACCTGAGCAGTTATATACGATGCTGTCAATGTCCTAATTTCCCTACAGGTACAACTATTATGTCAGTCAGTCATATATACGAGTATGAGTTGCATTTTGTTTCCCTGCGTAATCAAATTTTGGACCTAATGCATGCTACCTTACTTTAAAAACCTTCAAAAACTTGTAGCATTTCAAGACATTTGTTCTTCACCGCACGGTCTATTAGGTCTCTCTACTCATTACAAATCTCATTTTATTGTTCATTGTAGAGTAAGACTGGTGGTTTAGCTGACACGCCCCGATCTCGATATTCCATGAATACCAGGATAGGCACGTGTTGGCCGACATCGGAGGGTGACAAATACCATTTATTGAGTGCAAAAGCTGAAAACAAAGGATAGATAAGACTTATAAATTTAAATTATAATGAATATGCATTTTAAGAATGTGTTCAAAACATACAACTAACTAAAATACTAAAAAGAAATAATATAAAATTGAATGAATAAGAGGATGGGTCCAACACCGTAACCATCATCCGGGACGGACTAAAATCTATCCCTTGTCCCATAGCGGAATTGGGACCACTAGGTAAGTACAAATCCATTGAACATACATATATTGAAAAGCAGCTTCATAGTATAATATCATCCATCATTTATACTATAAAGAGATGTTCTAAACATGATCTAAATATTATATCGTCATTCATCAAATATCCCATAAAGAACATAGGATATAGAAAAAATAATAATAATTCAAAATAGCTTCAGTAAACATATTATCTCATAAAACGTTTTATAAAATGTAATAATTAAATCATGTTTTATTCATGCATGCATTTCTGCTATTAAAACATGCATTTTAGAAGAGATCCACTCATCATATATCGTTGGTGCAAATCCGTGCCAAAAAGAATATCGGAACGCCGCTATTAATTTCACCTCTGCACATAAAGGGCATGTTTAGTCAAATTCCACTCAAACGACTTAATTTGAAAAAACGGATGTTGCAAAATGGATTTAGGATGTTGAAATTAGCTTAGGAGGAATTTTGGACGAAACCCGAAACATCAACCTCAAAGTCAAAGTCAACGGTCAGTGTTAACAGGTTACAGGTCCGGGTCGGACCAGGTCAAACGGATCTAGACTTCGGGTTGGACCGGGTTTAGGGCCTGGATTCTAAGGCCCAAGGGTTTAGGGTTTTAGGTAAGCGGGCCGAAGGCCCTGGTTCTCACATGGCCCGAAGGCCTAACTCTAAGGGCTTGAAGCCTTGGTTTGCTCACATGGGCCTGGGTTCACAAGGTTTCCAATTGGGCTGGGCTTTTAGGCCTGGCCAGCTTGTATTTGGGTTTTAAGGAAATAAAAACAAAATAATTTAAAAAGGGTTTTGGGTTGGGTTTTCGAACGGGCCTAAGGCCCGAGGGTTTAGAACGGCCTAAAGGGCCTGGATTTCGACGGAGGGGCAAAGAGCTTCCCCAGCTCCGGCCGACGGCGACACTTAGTTCTAGGGTCCGATCTAGGCACAAAAAGGACGTGCAAGGTGAGGGGAAGTGTTTTCTCACCTTCGATTCACCATGGAAGGGCCTGAGGTGGTCGGGTTTAAGCTCACACACCCACGGCTCACCGGAAAACTGGGCTTCCTTTCCGAGCCATTTTTCTGAAAACCTTGACCACGAGTATAACGTTCAATAATCGCATCCAAGCATCAATCTAAAACGGAGAGAGGGAAAACCCGAGGCTTACCGAGTCGGGAAGACGAGGAAACTCGCCGAAGTGTTTTCTGGGCTTCGCCACGCCTTGCAGCGACGAGAGAGAGAGAGAGAGAGACGACCGGGTGTTGATGGTGGTGTGATTGTGATGGTGGCTGCTTGTGTGTGTGTGCCGATCGGGAAATAGTCCGAGAGCGAGAGGTGAGGGTCTCGAGAGAGGGAGAGTGAGTGCAGAGAGAAAGAGAGTTGAAAGTGAGGGTGAGAGAGTGAGGCCTCGGGGTGGGGGAAAGAGAGAGAAGTGGGGAATTGGGGAGTGCTGCCACGTGGCAGCTTGAGGGAGTTTGGAAATCTAGATAGAGGGTCCGGATTTGGTTAAGATAGGGGACCAAATTGGACATTTCATAAACTTTTTAGGGGATTTATGAAATTACACTATAATTCGGGGGTGGGGTGTAACATTAGCAGCCTGGGAACCAGCTGGAGCAGCAGAATGGTTAGAAGTAAGAATTTTAAAGAACTGGAGTAATCTTGTCGAACTTAGTTAGATGCGTAAGAAACTAAAGTTTTTGAAGGCATTATTAATTAGTATATACTTACTGGACATTCTCACTTCTTTTTTTTTTCTTTCCCCGGATGTTGAATCCCACGGAATTCTTCGCAGACATTGTTGTTGAGCATGAATATGTTGAAGGCACCTCATCTGCTATTCGGGCTTTAGTTTTGTTTAAGAAGTTGTACGCCGGCCTTAGGAAGAAAGAGATGGATCAATTTATTACCAACGCTGCACAGTACCTTGAAAATATATAAATGGAATATGGTTCATGGTATATATATCATATTATTGAATAAAAATTTGATTATACACAGTTTCTTTGATTAACAACTATAGCAGAGAAACAACTTAGTTAAGAAACATTTGCACAGGTACGGGAACTGGGGAGTATGGTACCTGGTTTGCTCTTGGAGGGTTGACAGCTGCTGGCAAGACTTTCAACAACCGTGCAGTTATACGCAAGGCTAGTAATTTTCTACTCGCAATCCAGAAAGAGAACGGTGGTTGGGGAGAGAGCTACCTTTCATGTCCATAAAAGGTAAAATATGGGTGGTGGATTATGTTTGAAGCTAGCTCCAAGTCTCTTAGTTAATCTCATTGTCTTAGACTAAAATATTTCAATCTGTGGTGGGTGATGCATGAGTGCGTTCCTCTTGAAGGAAACCGATCAAATTTAGTACACACAGCTTGGGCTATGTTGGGTTTGTATTGGATGGTTGTTTATTTGAAGTAGGGTTGGAAGTAGGGTTCCTAAGAGTTGGAAGCATCATGGAGTATCATGGAAGAATAGAATAATGGAACAATTCATTCCTTGAAAATCAACATGGTATCAGAGCAGGAAAAATAACCTGCTTCTGCTTCATCCGAACGTGATCAATCCTCAAGATGGCTGAAGACAATCCTCTTAGGTCAGATGCTGAAAGTTCACCGGTTCTTTCTTCCGGAAATATGTTTGAGGTGGATGTCAATCCAAATCAAAGGTTAAGCTCAGTCTTGTTAAATGAGTTTAATTACTTACCTTGGTCGAGAGCAGTGAGCCTTGCTCTAGGTGGAAGGTCCAAGCTAGGGTTCATAAATGGAAGCATCGAAGTTCCTGATGCTTCCTCACCAACATATGAAAATTGGCTTTGCAAGGATCAGCTAGTTATGTCATGGCTCCTAAATTCCATGGAGCGTAAACTAGCTGAAATATTCAGTTATTCTGAATCATCATTCGAGCTATGGGAGACAGTCAAGGAGATGTATGGCAGTCAAAACAATGCTGCACGTGTGTTTCAACTAAAGAAGGACATTTCTAACCTGCAACAAGAAGGAAAGCCATTTGTTCAACTTCTTGGCAGCATGAAGAGCATGTGGAATGAGTTGGAAATGTATCGGCCTCATACAACTGAAGCGTCCGTGCTACTGAAAAGGGCAGAAGAAGACAAGATATTCCAACTCTTGTCAAGCCTCGATTCAGGATACGAAGACCTACGAAGCCACATACTCATGAACCCCGAACTACCTTCCTTCACCAGTGTATGTGCAACAATCCAACGTGAAGAAGTACGAAGGAAAGTCATGAACATTGGCACAAAGACCAATGTAACTGAAGCAAGGTCTTACCTAACCAACGAAAGAAAATACAAAGTGAAGAATCCATACTTGAAGTGCCAACATTGCAACTATACTGGCCATGTTAAGGAGACATGCTGGATTTTACATCCAGAATTAAAGCCAGAGTTCATGAAGGATAACAAGGGCTCACAAAGACTGAACCGTGCACCACACAGAGCCAACAATGCATCTACCTCAACCTCACATGGGTCTGACGCACTCAAGAGCTTCACAGCAAATCCGACTGCACTCATAAATGAGTTTGCAGCATATCTTCAAAGCAAGAAAGAAGAGGTTAAGAGTGATCAAACGGTTGTTTTTGAAGATGGAAACTCAACAGCTTTGCTAGGCAAGTTCGTTGGTTTTTTGACAGACACACAACACATGTCTCGAGATGACATGCAAGGTATCATGACTGCTTTCAAAACTGCTCTATATGTAAATATGTTGCATGATTTTTGGATTGTTGATTCGGGTGCCACAGATCATATGACCAATCATGTTTCTAAGTTTCAAAAGTTTGAAAAATTTTCGCAACCTTGTCAAGTCTCAACTGCCAATGGTGAGAGTTCCAAGGTTTTAGGCAAGGGAAATATCCACTTAATGTCGAACAAAATTGAGTCAGTAGCCTTATATGTTCCTTCTTTTCCATTTCAACTTCTATCTGTGAGAAAAATCATCAATACCTTGAATTGTTTAGCCATATTCTCTCCTCACAATGTCATTTTTCAGGATTGTCTCACCAAGAAGACGATTGGTGAAGGGTTTTATCTAGATGGTCTCTATTACATATCAAAGAGCAGTCCCAGGGGATTTCAAGCCAAGTCAAATCCATCCCAAGATAGTCAATTGTGGCATCAACGTCTAGCTCATCCTTCTCAACCTGTTTTGTCATCTTTGTTTCCAAATTTAGGGAATGATTTAATTTCGTGTGCAACCTGTCATTTGTCTAAGGACACTAGATTGCCTTTTAACCTATCCTTATCTAGGACTAGTAAAGTTTTCGAACTAGTTCACTCAGATGTATGGGGACCAACGTTTGAATCTTTTGATGGTTATAAGTATTATGTGATCTTTGTTGATGATTTCTCTAGAGCCACTTGGTTGTACCTTTTAAAGTCTAAGAGTGAAGTGATGGAAGTATTTAAGGATTTTCACAACCTTGTTAAGAACCATTTTTCTTCTCAAATTCAAACTTTAAGATCTGACAATGGCATCGAATACACGTCCCATCTCATGTCACAATATTTGAGCAATCATGGTATCATGCATCAAACAAGCTGTGTTGGCACACCTCAACAAAATGGTGTAGCCGAAAGGAAAAATCGTGACATACTGGAAAAAACAAGAGCATTAATGTTACACATGAATGTACCAAAGAGATTTTGGTCCCAAGGAGCCATGGCGGCTGTGTACATCATCAATAGACTTCCTAGCCGAGTCTTGGGGTTTAAATCTCCCCTTGAAGTCATGAAAGGAAGAAAAATCGACCTCTCACATCTTAGAACCTTTGGTTGTGTCTGTTTTGTTCATGTTCAGTCACACCATCGAGATAAATTGGACCCTAGAGCTCTCAAATGCATTTTTCTTGGTTATTCATCAACACAAAAAGGATATAAGTGCTATGATCCCCAACTGAGAAAAATCATTGTATCCAAAGATGTTCGATTCCATGAAGCTAACCCTTTTTTTAGCAAGTCACTTGAAGCCACAGGTCAGGGGGAGTGTATCTTTGATCTGCTTCCTCTACCTAGAATCAGCACTCCAGATGAAATCAGCACTCCAGATGTTTTAAACGAAAGAGGTTCTAACCATGACAACAATGATGAATCTCCTACACCATTCACTGAAGTCAACAATGAAGGCACTCATCCTGATGGTTCTGTGGATGATGATAATAGCGGCAACCAAGAAAATCTTCAAAGTGTGGCTGATAATTTGAACGAGGATGAGACAACTCTCCCAGTACCTCGACGCAACCCTCGGCGTGATAGACAACCTCCCACAAGACTTCAAGATTTTGTCACATATAAACCGAGGTATCCAATCTCCAATTGCGTGTCGTATCAAAAGGTGACTCCATCTCATGCTGCTTTTCTTAATACCATTTCAAGTCACAGTGAGCCTCAAAACTTTCATGAGGCTAATAACCAAGTTGTGTGGAAAGAAGCAATGCGAGATGAACTCAAAGCACTGGACCAACATAACACCTGGAGCATCACCAAACTTCCAAAAGGAAAAAGGGCAGTGGGCTGCAAATGGATCTATAAGATCAAGTTTAATTCTGATGGTTCAATTGAAAGACATAAAGCCAGGCTGGTGGCTCGAGGATTCACTCAAACATTTGAGGTAGATTACAAAGAAACATTTGCTCCTGTTGCAAAAATGAACTCAGTTAGGGTCCTATTGTCTGTTGCCGTCAATAAGGGTTGGTCCATGTACCAAATGGACGTAAAGAACGCCTTTCTACATGGTGATCTTGAAGAAGAGGTCTATATGAGATTGCCACCAGGACACCCTCAAAGCCAGGAGCCTGATTTGGTGTGTAAGTTGCATAAGTCGATTTATGGATTGAAGCAATCGCCTCGTGCTTGGTATGCAAAACTAAGTTCAGTTCTTCATAGTGTTGGTTTCAAAAGGAGTAATGCAGATTCATCATTATTTGTTCGCACGGGAGCTGCAAGCAAATTAGTTGTGTTGATATACATGGATGACTTAATAATTACAGGTGATAATGCTGCAGAGATCTCCACACTCAAAAAGTCACTTCAACAAAGATTTGCGATTAAAGATCTTGGGGTGCTGAAGTATTTTCTTGGAATCGAAATGGCATCTTCTCACAAGGGACTATTTCTTAATCAACGAAAATACGTCATGGACCTACTCAAGGATGCTAATATGAGCGATGCTAAGCCTGCACTTACTCCTCTCGATAGCAAGCTCAAACTTGACTTGGGAGGCAGACCACTCTCGGATATCAGCTCCTATCAGAGGCTTGTCGGTAAGCTGATTTACCTAACGATCACCAGACCTGACATCTCATATTCAGTGAGTATAGCCAGTCAATTCATGCATTCCCCCACCATCGAGCATTTGAACCTTGTAAAAAGGATCTTACGTTACTTAAAAGGGTCCATTGGTCGTGGCATCCTCATGACGAAGAATGACAACACTCAAATCATGGGGTACTGCGATGCAGATTGGGCAGGAAATGCCATCGATCACAAGTCCACCACTGGTTACTGTACCTTTGTCAGTGGAAAT